AAGGAGCGGAAGCAAAAAAACGAAGTGTAATATGCTCCCCAAAGGGGGAGGACGTGGAGGAAAGGACGGGGGGGGGGGGGGAAGAAAGTGATAAAGATCTTATCTTCATCAAAACGCTGATAGTCCCACTCATGCACATCTGTTACTTCTGTTTCGATAGTATACATTCAATAACTCTTCTATTCTCTTTCCAACAAAGAGTGGGTAGATGCTTGAAGATAAGACCCTTATTACCATTCGTCATTGGTTTTTTCCAAAAGTCGACGAAAAGCCATCCACAGAGCATTGTGACGATATCAGTAGTAAAAATATGCAAAACTGGAAAGGAGAAAAAGTACTATAACCTTTTCTATTATGCTTGAAAACAAAGCCTTTTTCCATCAGCAACGATTGAAAAAATAACAAGTGTCTTTGACGCACAGCCTACCAAGTCAAAAACTTGCTCCCCTATTGACTTTAACAATAACTTCGAAATAAAATTTTATTTTACGAAAGTTCTTACACTCCGGATGATAACGATTCGTCTTTTAAATATCAACAAGACGAAATAATGAAAATATTAGGTGTGCACTACGGTTGAAAATCTTAATACAGTTTTCTAGGAACAATTAAATTCTGCTCAGAAATCTTATGTTTCTTCAAAATATGTAAAGCATCATTGCTGTAATGACGACGATAAATATTCTTACCCTCATATTTATACAATTGCAATGCATATATTTAAATGCGTTTGTACAATGACTCAATGAATTGGGAATTACGCAAGTGAGAAAAACGACTCACCACGTTTCCTTTATCGATATGCTTCATTTTTATCTGCTCAAGGACAAAGAAAAAAAAAGGAATAGTATTCTTTTCACAAATATCACCTCTCTTCTTTCCTTCCTTCCTATGAATCATGGCAAAAAACAAGCACGTCAATCTTGATCATTGATACTTGTCATGAGGTCTATATTTAACGACGGAACAGGAAGAAATATCTTGAAATATTTTGTGCCCCGTCCCATCTCTCATGTAATTTTTCTTTCTCTCCATTTCGCTTCGTTTCATAAAGTATTTACTTATCATAAGTAAATGGAGTTCATGACGTAAATGAACTACAAAATAATTCAAAATTTTCATAAAAATTTAGAAAAATCTTTAACATAATTTTTGCTACAATTCCCAATATAATTTTCGTAACAATTTTACTCAATATATGCATTTGCATTCTTATTAGAATTCTCTTACGTGAACCATTACTTTGAATTAGGATCTACTAGGATCTACCAGGATCTATTAGGATCTACCAGGGTCTGCCAGGATCTACCAGGGTCTATTAGGATCAACCAGGATTTAGTAGGATCTACCAGGGTCTATTAGGATCAACCAGGATTTAGTAGGATCTACCAGGGTCTATTAGGATCAACCAGGATTTAGTAGGATCTACCAGGGTCTATTAGGATCTACCAGGATCTGCACGGTCTAGTAGGATCTAGTAGGATTTACCAGGATCTAGTAGTATCTACCAAGGTCTACCAGAATCTGCAGGGTT